CACCATGACTTAATCACCTACAGAACAAGATATACAGTGTCATGACATCCTCCAGTTGTATGGCTAGAAATTGCTATGAAAGAGGAAGGATATATTCTGTTTACCTGATCACTGAACTCTGTATGCATGATGACTTTACCTTCTCTAATGGTGCCCGTGTTTTATGGATGGATGGATGGATAGATAGATAGATAGATAGATAGATAGATAGATAGATAGATAGATAGATAGATAGATAGATAGACAGACAGACAGACAGACAGACAGACAGACAGACAGACAGACAGACAGACAGACAGACAGACAGACAGACAGACAGACAGACAGACAGACAGACAGACAGACAGACAAAAAACTTCTCGAATACTCACCACAGACTTGAAAGGGGGGGTATCCCACGGCCTCTGAGTAGTCCATAACAGTCATGAGTCCGATGACATTTATCACTATATATGTCAGAGACGATCCAAAATAAAATGCAAAGGGAACCGTAAATGCATAGGACCCCAGTAATGCACAGGAGAATATATGAACCTGTAAAAAAAAGAGAAAAATGAAAGGAAATTATGTAATCTTTGACCTCATTTACAACAAATTATTGTACAAGGTTATCAAACAATGGATATATTTTAGTGTGCATTTCCAGTCTTTATACTATTTCCCATAATATGAATTAGTATCTCCAGGTAAATAAGGGTTAGCTTATCCAATGGCATTAAATGTCTGGTAGCCACAGAATAGAATCAGTGTCTTATTGGTTTGAAGGCCAGAGTAATACAAACTAACCCATGATGACCCGGGATTATGCTTGAGAAAATTCAATAATTTTTAAACTACAGGTAAGTGAAGAGATAATTTGGATCTCATGAAGATTAGGCACCCCAGCTTATTTCACCAGGTGGTTAATTAAGCACCCTAATGTTAACTTAACCTAACCTAAACCCCCCAGTAATATTTCAAGTACTGTACAATACAATATGACTGATTAAGTATTACTCTGCATAAAATATGTACTGTACTGTATTGTACTGTGCTGTATTGTACTGTGCCGTATTGTACTGTGCTGTATTGTACTGTGCTGTATTGTACTGTGCTGTATTGTACTGTGCTGTATTGTACTGTGCTGTATTGTACTGTACTGTATTGTACTGTGCTGTATTGTACTGTGCTGTATTGTACTGTACATACAATGGTAAAATACCTTTTTGATATCAACAATGGAGTAGGCAATGATGACGATAGCAAAGAAGACTGGGAACACCACAAACGCTGCAAGGTTTGTGGTCTTTGGAGCAATGGCGTCTGGAAAAAGTAAAAAAAAAGTTTGAACCCAAGAATACTACATGTCACTAACACATATAACAAGAGAAACTACATTACAATATTAAATAAACTCTGAATTATATGTAAACAGAACAACAAATAAAAGAAGCATAGTTTCAGGTATATATAGAAGTAATAATATAAAATAAAATATATATTATAATACTGCACTTACATCTGAGGAAGTATGTGACCACCATACCCACAAATATCACGGTCATAACAATGATCAACAAAGATGAGTGGAAAGGTCGCTGGAACTTGTGCCACCCTATAAGCCACACTATTCCACCAGCTACAGCACCAATTAAAGTGCCCCACTCTAGTCCTGAAATGTAGTCCAGCTCAGTACACATAATAACATAATCAGTTATACTCTCAGTCTCTCTAGATAATTTTTTTTAATGCATTATAATGACAAAAACTGAATATACTGCACTTTGAAACTACTTACGGAATACAAAATACCAATTGGTAATCCAGTAATTAATTCTTATGATGAGCGACACTACTTAAGAAAATGTATGGACTTGTTATACCAGCATATATAACTGTACACAGCCTTCCTATTTTTTCCACCCGCTGGTGATTAAACTGTCTTCTACATTTCTAGTTGAGTCGTCAATTTATCCAGTTTCATTAAAAATATATTCTAAAGTTAACAACACTTATGCCTGTCAATGGCAAGTATACCCACTGTTTATTTCCATTTAGAAAAGGATGGTACTTTATTGGTTTCATAAAACTTTAGCCACTACATCTGCCCCCACTGGAGGAGGACCCCCTTGCCCCCAGCCCTGAAGGATTCCTTGCTATCCTACTTTAGACCTAAATGAAAAGGTTTCATATATACATTATAGGTATACAGTATGTTTATGAAACTCACCAATGATGTTGTTCCTATTAACTTGAGCAAAAGGGAGAAAGAAAACACACCAAAAGAAGAGGAAGCCGGCGATGAACATGGTAAAGTTGAGCCAACGGTGACCCAGGAAGAGCAGGATCCCTCCAATGAATAACAGTGAGGCACAGAAAAATTTTGCCATTGGAGTTACTGTTGGTACCAAACACAAACATCAAGATAATCAAAGAATAAAAAAAAAGCAGATATATTTTGTAGTAGTGAGCCATAACGACACACAGAATATTGTATTCAGCATAAAACTAACTTTTGATTATAAAGTAACTAAATCTTGCCCATAACTTGAGGTGCAGTAAATTTTATTTGAATCATATTAACAGTGAACATATATACCTGTAACACATTGAACATTGACTGAAGCCCATCTACTGTAATGCCCAAGACTTTGAAGATCTTATTTTACCCCTAATACTGAAGTTCATGTTTGATAAAAGTTTAGGTAAGACTAGTTGTTAAAACATCACCTGTTTTAAATAAATATCAGAAACTGTTTGTATCACCAGAAAATTAGACACCCCAGCTTATTTCTCCTTGGAAAACAATATTCAGATTCCTTTATAAAACAAAAATTCCATCAGTAACTTACCAAGTTTTGTACATCTGTACTCTTCTGCTTCAATAAAATCACAACCATAGGAAACAGTAGATGAGTAGAGAGTACCATGAGAGTTATTGTACGACACAACCACGGTGATCACCGCCCCGACCCCAGAGTAAGACACAAACCAATGACTCAGCTGTTCTGCTGTATTATTATTTTTTGCCTCCACCACCTGTGTGAACATGAAACATACAGTATTTGTAAATTTTGATTCATCCTACAGCAACAAGTACAGTACATCAGCAGTTCAACAGTACAAAAGATAAAATGAATCACAACAACATGAACCATCAACTATATCTGATGACCTGCATTCAAAACATTACAGTACAGGGGTACTGTATAACTAAATTTTCATGTTCTGAGACCTAATGCTGAAAAACATGTTTTACTTTTTTCAGATTTGTACAATATAAGCAGTACAGGTATACACTTTGAAAAATACAATATATAAAATTTAAAAAAAAAGCTAAAAGTCCACTTACACATTTGGCATTTTCTCTGAGGCCTTTAAGAGTACTTGTGGCAATCAGCATGTTCCAGTACTTGTTCTCACTCAGGTCTTTCTCTTTACATGTAGGCAAGATAAGTCTCATATTTGAGCTGTCCTTCAGCAGGACTTGATTCTGAGTCAGGGTAGGAGGCAGCGCGGTAGGTGACTTTTGTTGTTAGTAGGTTGGGCTCCATGGTTAGGTAAGGCTGAGTGAGGTTGTTAGCGCCTTATAGTTACCTGGGATTGGCTCTGAAGCAAGACAATACACCTGAATATAGTTGGTGTTTGTGTGAGTAGTACTGTACAATGAGCAGCTCAGGTAATGATTCTTAAATTATTTCTAATAAATAGATTGTCTTTTAAATAAAATACAGATACTTTATCACACAGTTCATTACTTTATTTACTGATAAAATAAACAGGAAAACACCTCAAATACAAACTAACAACGCAAACTTCAAAATAATCCTTGGCTGACATAACCAGTAAATAGTTGTTATAAAAAAGCTTGATTAAGCACCCTACAGCTTAGTACTCAAACATTCCTACTTGACAGAACACAGCTAAAAACTTACCATCATCACACACAGCTCATTCCTGACCCATGTAAACAACAAAGTGGAAAATAGAACTTAGAAAAAGCAACAGCAAGATAAAGGTGTTGGGAAAGGATGATAACAGTGATATCAAATGATTCTCTGCACTGATAAATGGTGATATCAAATGATTCTCTGCACTGATAACAACTACGGTAAGTATTACTAGTTATTATCAATGTACAAATCCAGCTGATCTTACTACAGTACTGTCATGTCTTTCCCATCACTTCCTATCCAACAGGACGGACAACTGGGAATGGAAGACCCGAGAAACCCAAGGGTACATAGGAGAGGTAGCACCATCCCGGGTCAGTGAAAATCATAGTTGGCAACTTTTTTTTTTTACTTGGGTCTGCCCCTTTGGTCATGTGGCCAAAATACATAAGCATTATCATGAGATCGTTTTTCAGATCAAAATTTATGGGAAGAAATTAAATTAATTTTGGGCATAAATATATAACATAAAAATTAATGAAAATGGTCAAATTTGTGAGATTTTTCTGTCAATGGAAAGTCAAGATTGCATTGTAAGTAAAATATAAAATACTTAGGAGTGCAAAGTTCAGGAAATAACAGTAAAAAAAGTCACACAAAATCAGGCATTAATAAAAATATATTATCTTGATCCCTTTGCGCTTTCGCAGTCGACAAGAGAACCAAAGGGCTGGAGCCAAGTGACGCATCCATAGCTAGCCAATAAATAAGCTGAATGAATCGCTGATGAGTGATTTATTATAATTATTTATTCAGCATCAGTGACACCAATTGTAATAAAAAATTTCCACTATCTTTAATGCCAATGCAGCGCAAAAGCTCAAGATATTAGTTTTTCCGATTACCACAGAGCCTTATGGAAGTGGTGCTAACACCTCCTGTGCAACCAACCCCACAAAAATGGAGGCTTAACAAAGTACAGATAAAGAGGAACATCTGTGTACTGTAGAACCAATACCCTCGTTACACAGACTCACAAGAAGCTACACAACATATCAACTAACAGGGTCTGGGGCTCTCACCATCACCACAATAAAAAAAAAAGGATATGTGAAAGAATGTCTAATCACCAACACACAAAAAAAAATAGATAAATAAATAAAAAATAAAAAATCTCTGTGGTCTGTGTAATCACCACCAGACTGTCCTCATCATACCACAGTCAAAGAGTTAATAAATAAGATAAAGACTTCGATGTATCTGTACAATGATGGTGAAATCAAAATTAATTACTACATCCATGATGGATGGAGGAGGATTAAATGCATTATGGAAGACAGGTTACTCTGTTTTTGTATTTGGTGAGATGAGAGAGAAAGGGCTGCAAATTCTCACCCTCTTCCTAGAAACCGGGTATCCTTCGCTATCCAACACGACTCCCACACTCTTTAATCTTATTCAATTTACCTTTTCAAACTTGTAACATCACTCTCTTCCACTCTCACCCCCTTCACCATCTATTCTCCAACTACCTTTCCTCACCTACTAATCTGTCTCACTAACCATCTTACCTTACCAATTAACCTTCCTCACCAGCCAACCTCCTGTCTTAACTTTCCTCCCACATCACACTCCTCTCACCCTCTCCAATCTCCTCTTGCTCCTTTTCCAATGCATCTCCAAACCAGTTGTAAAAAGTCTCCCCTCGCCCTGTGTCCAAAATTTATCCTCCATCATTCTACATACAGTATAATATCCCTTTATCTATGCTTTTTTTCGTTTTTGTTTTCAACTTTTTCTCCGACAGTTTCCCCTTCACCTTACTTACCGCCTGTTAACACTCACCCTCTTTCCCAAACTTTTCACTGTATGTGTCATTGCTCTTAAACTCCCCTTTACTTTGTTCTTCACCCCTTCTGCTCACTCTCTCTGAACCAAACTTGTTAACTACTCCCATTATACTCCCACATGCAGTATCTTTTCTCTACATTACTCCCCTCGACCGTCCCTTTACTCTGTGTTCAACTCTGGTGCGGTAAACTTGTGTTCGTTTAACTCTGACTGAATACTGTCTTCTTTATGCACTTTTTCCAATGAGAGTTGAATATCCCCCCACAGCATCAACACAGACCATAAAGCACTGGGAATTAACTTACCCTCATTGGTGTAATTCACCCATGAACAAGACTGTAATATCTTTATTGTGATTGTTGGTGAGGAACACGATGTTTCATTTTTTGATGCGTGACTGTCATCAACATCCACCTTCAGTCCTGGACTAGTGCTATTGACATAACAGCCTGGTTCATGCTTTCTGAAACATAACATTTTAACTGTTTTATTAAATCTTCTGTGAATCCTTGTTTACACTGTACTGTAATTTTTTTTAACCAATTCTGGTCTTTTATGAGACTGAAATAAATGATATCATTGCAATTAGCATGGCTACTATTATACAGTAAAGTAAATAACTAGTTGATATAGAAGTGGAAAATCCTGTATAGAACTTATTAACATCTACAGGGTAGGTCATTTACAGGTTTACAATGCTACTGTTCTTTAATCTAATTCATCTACAGTTGACACCACTGTACTGCAAGTTCATTACCAGTATCTAGCATACTCAATAACCTAAGTGTCAAGATCAACAATGCAGGTCACTGACAAACAATAGTAATCACTAACATATTATTTCTAAATCACTTTGTATGTGTTATCAATGATAAGATAAGTCGGTAGGTCAATTCAGTATTATCATCCACGCCACCTATGTTTTCTCAATTATGTGTTGGTTTCTGTTTAACACTTTAGCTATCACATGAAGATTGGTGAGCAAAATGGTATATAACAGTACAGTACTTTTCGCTTCTATTCTATATCTTTATTCCTCTCCTACATTTGTTTGGTGTGGATCAAGAGGTACAATACAGAAACGAAAGGGGGTTGGTGGTGGAGTGTTGCAAGAGAAGTGTATGAAGTAACAGGAGAGTGGATATCCTGTACACGTCCTCCACATGCACTTGTATACAGTGTACACTCACAATTTTATCTGTCAAAAGTTTACTTCTTACATCCATAGCAATGTGATACAGTTTCTCACATTTAGTTCTTTCACTCAACAAAATGTGTTGAAACCCTCTAACTAATTTCATGTTTACAATTATTAAAACCTAGCTTCTTATGCCACTAATAAACAGTATTTTTCAACCATGTATACAGTACAGTACATACACATTACAGTACTGTACTGTACTTCACTTAAAAAATAAACAAGATAAACAGACTGACACCATAAGATTACAGAAAACTACAAAGAACCAGGATGATACCTCTACTGTACATGTATGGTATTATACTTTTGTATGAAAAAAAAAAGATCTTTTTTTATAGATATAAATCTATACTTTACAATTTTCCTATGAATTTTGTTTTAATCTTGACGACCTTCACATCTTCTACAGGTAAGACCATCATACACACACTGCTTGACATGTCCTACCCCTGACTTGTTACAGTATCTTCTATTGTTCCTTCACATTTACATCATTAAAATTATATATAATGCAGAACAGTATATCATCATTCCCTTCTATATCTTCTCTTATCTTTTATCTTTGTGATTTTTTTTACTTTATTTAGAGCTTATGATAACTTAAGTACTGTCTACAGTATAGTGCACTTCAGGTCATGATCAGATGTCTATGCTCTACAAGTCATGTTTCATGAATAAAATTACAGAATAGTAGTGTTCAGTATATTATGTTACAACTTAACCACTGTTTCCATTACAAACATCCACATGCACATTTATACACTTATCTGTACTCCCACAGACAGGAGCTGGCACACACACACACACACACACACACACACACACACACACACACACACACACACACACACACACACACACACACACACACACACACACACACACACACACACACACACACACACACACACACAGAGAAAGATATCTCAGTAAGTCAGTTCCTCATTACCTTGTTGTAAGAGTAATATTATTCTAAACTTGTTCAAATAACTGCACGATATCTTTACTTACAATTTATTACTAAGAATAAGATATCGATTCTGAGAGTGGGCCTGGACAATGAGAAAACTGACACTCTCTCTATCAATATCTGTTATGTTGACAGCGATGGTGGTGTTCCTACAGATGGCGATGATTTTATGGGTGTTGTTTCTCATCGAATACACTTTGTGCTGAGCTTTTAATTTACCTGCAAAAGGAAAGAAAAATATATGTTGAGAGAGAGGCAGCAATTCTGTCTGAGAAATTGACTGTCTTAACTCCTTGAATACAACCCAACACAACCCCTTTCATAATGGCACATACAAAAAAATTAAATCACTTGAGTATGGTAACTTGAATATGATATCAAAGCCCTTGGAATATAATAACCTGTTCCCTCAAGTACTGTATAGAAACATTGTACAGTATTCAGGGGGAGAGGTCATCATACTTAAGGGTTAAAGAAAGTAAAATCTTACAAAATATCCTTCTTTATGACCATCAACAAGTGTCATGCATGATTCTCAACCATCGAGGAATGGGATACAGGGAGCATTACTTCTTATAAGTAGAAGAGAAATAATCTTACAAATTTCCAGTCTTTGTATGAGAGTTCTTCCTTAAATCACCTTGAAACAAAAACTTTGGCTGTAGGAAATGCTCCTTGTCCCAAAATGGGTTTGATAAACATTCCTCTTGGAAAATTTTCTGACAAAGTGTTACCCATTAAATCATGTTCTCTGGCCATGCACTGTACTTGAGAGGATTTAATTAGCTTAGTTATTAACTGAAGTAAATATCTCTTGGAGGCTTTAGCTTGAGAGGAATAACTTAAGTTTATTGAGTTCCTGTTCAGAGTTTAGTACAGTAATATTCAAATATGTACAGTACAGTATGATTTAATGGCCAGCGTAGACAAAAAAAAAAGAGCAGTGTTTACCATTTGTGTCTTTCGGTAAACTTGTAAACATTTAGATTTAAATCTTGAGGTTCTTTTATAGTCCAAATCAAATTCACCTTAGCAAGTGATGAATTGATAGAAAATTGTGTTCCCTGCTTAGTTCAAGGCTTTCTGAAAAAAATTTGCTTCTTTTATGACTCTTTCTGATTTGAAAGGTCTAGATACGGTTTTGAAGATAAAGTTCAAATAAAAATTTTCTTTTGGGGCTTAACCAGTTGTGAATAAAATCTTTTGGAATTAGAAAATAAAAATTAAAGTGGCGTCCCCGTAGCGATGGAGTTAGTGAAGATAATCTACTAACCCCTTGCGTCTGGGGGTTGCCTCTGTGCTGAATAAAATCGTCTGGTGTTAGCCAAACAAAAATTAAAAGTGGCTTCCCCGTAGTGATGAGGTTAATCAGGAACTTTAAGAAATTTTACATTAAAGGTAAATATTATACTTTCTTATACAGGTATTTTGAAAATCCTATAAAATGACAAGGACTGCCATTTGTGTAATACTGTACTGTACTGTATCTGGTACCTTATATAGTGTAGTACTGTATAAAGAAAAATCTGTAAAAATTTACATCAATAAACAAATACCGGTACTGGAACATTCATAAAAATAATCAGTAACATTCTGAACAAAGCTTTGTCAAATTATTTATTATGTACAGTATTTCATAATTGACTTCCTTGTGTAATCTTCAGGATTTTTTTTATATTACAGGACAAGACTTTTTTTTATTATTATTCATTCAGTTATCCAGCGAGATTAGGTTTAGGTTAGATTACGTCGGGTTACGTTAGGTTGAAATTGTTTTCCGATCGTTTTGATGTGTTTTGAACGATTCTTTGTTTCAAATAGGTGAATGACTGAAACAATCAATTGACTCTTTTTTTATCACTAGAATATTGAACTGTACTTATATCTAAAAAAAAAAGTGTATGAATTGTAATTTATGTAATTTTGTTAATGGTTTCCAACGGTATTTCCGTACAGTACCTTACCTAACCATACCTACCTCATACGTAAATAAACCTGCCAAACCTAACCTAAAATAATATAGATAGGGTATATAGGTTATGTTGGCTCATCTTATCTATGACAAATAAAAAATGTCAATATGTAGTCACTGTAAATTTACATTCCGGCTAAATAAAAAAAATATTAAATTTTAAAGTTGTTATCCTCCTTAATATTCAGTTGTTGCCATCCACAGAACTCTATACTGATTCTTACATGGAGATAGAAGAAAAAACTTTAGAGCATTTCTGTTGGTTAATTCTGGTTTACGAGTTACATGTATTATGACTTTTCTATCTCACTTCATTGCGGGGAAATACATTGTTTACATATTACTCAGGCGATCAGCGGAAATTATTTTCAGCAAATATTTGAGAATGAAGCCGCAGCTGTTGTTATTTTCAGGGTTTGTGGTGTTCTCCCTTCTTCAGTTAAGTGTCGGTGTGATTCAGACTGTCAGTATTGTGAAGATCAACACACCTGTAAGACATAGGCACTCCCCAAGAAAGGTTCGGAGCTAGGTATTATTATCGTTTCGGTTATCCAGCAAATTTTAGGTTTCGTTGCATTTAAGAAGCAGTGCTGTGACTGATCTTCACTGGTTAGGTTAGGTTAGGTTCCAAATAGGTGGATGACCGAAACGATAATTTTACCAAAGGTTCTATGATCTATCGTTTATATATTATTTCAACCCTGCATTTTCCCTCATCTTCAAAGACCTGCCAAGTGTAGAAGGAATCATTGTTGTGGTCATATCTCATTAAATAAACATTTTAATAATAAAAAAAACAGGTTGGGCATAAAACGGTAAAATTATTGTTTTAGTCATATTTGAGAGTCATTCAAACCACATAAAAAAAACACAGGAAAACCATAATTTCAACCTAACCTAACCAAACCTTAAAATCCTAAAATACCCAAATAATAAAACAAACCTTTACCCTCATGCTACTAAGATTCAAGCTAAATATGTAAGGCTATAACAGTACACAAATAATATTCACAATTTTCTGATCAGTGAGACAACATAATTAGATCATTTATGAAAGATCACATAAACCTAACTTACCAGGTCAAACTTAATAACCTTAACTTAAAATTAGAAAGATAATTAGGCTACATTACTATAGGCTGATATTCTCACTTCCACCCATGAGATAAAAGGCATTTCGACTAGACATTTCGTTTATCTAATACATCATTATTAATAAGGAGACAGACTTACCGGTCTTATTTTCACATATAGTTGTATTATTATCTACATTTGTTTTATATTTTAGTCCAAGGTTTGTGAAGGCGGTCTGGTTGGCTCCTTCATCTGGCTCCTTCACCACAGTTACATTTTCACTCAAAGTAACATCACAAACACAACACACGAGGCACAAACAAATCCAATAATTCAAATATCTTCCTCGATGATTCATAGCTACATGGTAAGAGGACAATTAAGAGAATTTGTGAACATTGTCTAGTAAGTGGTGACTGATACTGCGTCTGTTTACATCCATGATCAGCTGACAACACTACCAGGGGCGCTCACTAGTATACCATAAGATATCTTCAACAATACCATAATATATTAATAAAAGTGATAGTTACTCAAATATTAACATAGTTTGTAAGTTATGATAAAGTATTAATCTGTAGGATATTATAATTATTTAAAAGTAATTGTAAATAAGTTCATAATACATTAAAAGTCATTGTGTAGATGTCTTGGTAGATATCAAAACATAATGTCGCCTACCCCTAGATGGCAGCAGGATCAGTTGTCAGTGATGGCTGCTGTTGATCAATGCTTTTGACGGATTACAGTGTATATACTCCATAAATAACTCAGATATGTGTTGTAGATAATAAACTAAAATGGGTAAGGACGCCGATTTACTGGAAGCTGCTCGGAGTGGCAACTTTCAAGTGGTGGAGAAGATATTAAGCTCAAAAGCGAAGATCAGGACCACTTGCAAGGTAAGTTGATCAGATCCCCGCCCATTTCCTGAGGTAAAGAAATTAACTTTAATGCTGCTTGGTGTAAATTGACTTTATTAGATGTGTTATACTATAATAGAGCCCTATATGTTATGGAATTAAGTGTAGTGAAGGATTGCTACTCGTATAATGGCTTGGTCAGCAGGTGCCATTGTCTTGCAGGCATCAGATGTCAGGTCTGGTGGTTCGTCCACTGTGTAGTGTAACCAATAGAATTAACATAATGAGTGTTTCATAGACTGTGTAGGTGCGAGTTATTACAGAAAAAAAAAAAAAAATTATCTTTAAATGGTAATGTAGTAATGTATTTCTTGTAAACTACTGTACATAAATCATTGTTCTGGTAAAATTAAGGTTGATATAATAATTATTTTGTAAATTTTGTATTTAAAGTACTTCATCTGCTTTTGGAATTTATAAAGTAAGTCATAAGAAGAAATAATATATGTATGTTGGGTAGAGTGAGAGAGAGAACATTGTGTAAAGAATATATAGTGGGCAGGTCTTACTGGAGTGAGGCAACAAAAATAATATATGTGTGTTAAGTATATATCTGTACAATAACCCAATAGTTTATTTTTAATGAAATTTCATCAAAATGTTTGCTTTAATGCTTGAAATCCAAACCTGGTGGGATAGCATAGCATTTCATATGTACATATACATACATGCATACATACATACATACATACATACATACATGCCAGTTTTGTTATCTCTTGTGGTGTACGTGTAAGTAAGGGAATGGTGACCTGGGACCTGGGGGAAGATCCATCAGACTTGGGTACAGGACTACCATGATATGTAATGTTCTGTCATCGGGTAATGTTTTTAGTATGTGCTTCTGCAGGAGAACTCCCCCTTTGGTCTGGTATATCAGAGAGCTAGTAACTTTTTTATGAAGGTAGTTTGTCATTGTGGTAGACTGAGTATTTGTAAAAAGTTATAATCTACAGTATGGTGTGGTGGCAAGAGGCATTACCTAATAGGAGGCTGCTTCCTATTTGACCATTATGATAACTATGCTGACAGTATTTTCTTCTCTAATTTACTTTTGTTTGAGCTGTGGTCTTCAGGAGTGTTGTGGTCACTAAGAGGAGAGACATTGTATTACTTCCATAGACTTTTTCAGGGTTAGAGTTTCAGCTTGATAGAGTTTTCAGTTGTGTTAACTTCCACTGAGCTTTCTACCTACTTTCTAGTCTATGAGAAACTTTTAACAGTTTTACTATTCGATCAAGGGCAAATTGATAGGGTAGATCGGTTTTGGCTGCCTGAGGGAGTTACTGTTACGCAAATAAAACATAAACCTCATATTTGTACCTCCTTTAGGTCTGAGATACCCCATCAGGTATTGTATACTCATCAAAAACAATTCTGGACCTTTATGGTGTTATACAATATGACACACCTGACCAAGCATTCTGAACAATACGGGTTTTATGTATATTCCTGTTAATTTCTGTGTAATATCTATCCTGTACAGTACTTGATATATGGAATATATTGTATTGGTTACACAATGCATCACACTATCATAAGTACCAACCTTACCAAATGAACACGGCCTCAATCAGTGATCGTTGCAAAAGGCATCACACCAAGGGGTGCAGAAATTTTTTTGTAGGCTGTACACATGACCTTAGGGGAATTAACATTTTGGCATTTCTTCAAAGTGCTTCCCTGATGTTCATCCTTCAAAGAGTCTCTTGGGTGTGGGCAAAAGTATTAAGCTCCTGTTAGTTACTAGTAGATGAAACTAAGCTGCTATTAGATTGTACAGCATTTGGCAGCTATTACTGGTAGGGTTAGTTATTTTTTACATTCAACATGGTATCCGGACACCTATTACCTGGAAAGTTGGTTCCATTCAGAAAAGTACACCAACATTACTTCTTGAACATGGAAGTCTGTGAATTGGCCACTAGAGGGTGTCTCTTCTTTTGACCTAGTTGTTGCCAGTTAACCCTTCGGTTACAGTTTGAGGAAAGTTTGTTGTAGTACAGTACTGTACATGGTATGTGCAATTGTATTAAAAATTTAAGTTCTTAAATAAAATTGTACTGTACATCATACACAAATAAAGATATGCATACTAATGGGATCAGGGAATAATTCACTAATCTAGTTTGGTTTAACCGTAGTGAAAGGCTCCTGTACTGCACGATTTGGATGGTCCAGGTCACAAGGAGATGGAGACGAACATAGTACATACTTCCTCCATGACAACAGTGTGTGTACTGAAGTGGAACTAGGAGTTCAGGGGTGGTCAAAGGGGACCTAGAGGCCTATGGGTCACAGTCTATAAAGGTATCACTTGCTGCATATCTATAGTGGGACCACTCTACTGAATTTTTTACAGTTATAGGGTTAAGCTGGTGTCCAGTATAAGTTCGTCCACAGGCACCAAAAAGAAAAGAAAATACAAAATACTGAGGAGCTGACTTTTTTTAATACTGTACCATATATCATGAAAGTTAGTATGCATACAGTATACTGTACAATATACCTTATTAACCACCCTTCCTTACCTCATTTGAGAATGGGATTATTTTAGTTAAGAAACCATTCCTTTTAGTATTTTTCATGTACGGTGTGGTGTTCATCTTGAGTATTTAATTTCTGTCATTTCTGCTTATTAGTGTTAATGGAATCATAAATGTTTTGTGCTTAGCTGTGCAGTATTAAATTAGGATATAGAGGGTATACAAACCTTATAGCTAGTGTTAAGAGCAATCAGGATGCTATCTCTGCCTTCTCACTCTTGAGGAAAACCTTGTAATGGACTGAGGTTTGACAGATAAGATTGAAACAATGTATTATGGAAAGGGATATCAGTGCATATATATGCTTTTGTCTAAACAAAACAAGTACAATGGAGAGTATCACCATTGGCTTATAGCTTTGTTTTGAACATAGGTCCATCCAGTCATGATTAGCTGTATAACTACCTTGTTCAGGTCACTGTTGATCAGAGTATCTGACACAAATGTTCTATAGGTTTTCCATGTTGTCTTGAAATGATAAGATCTAATTATGTTATATATATTGAATTCTATATTTTTATTTTTTTGTCAAAATAAAGAATTTGAAGTTGCTCTTATAAACATGAGTTTCTCTCTATTTTTTCTTTTTCTTTTTTTCTGTTATCTGATTGAAGTGGTGAACTCTGTACAGTACTGTATGTCAGGATTCTGGAAGCAGTTTCCCATGATAGTTCTGGTCAAGTGCTGGGTTAGAAAACTTTGACCACATGACCGGACACGAAACATAGTTCCAAGTGGCACAGTTGGGGGGAAGGCACTTAACCTACCGGTAGTTAGTTGATTATCACTGAGAATAGTTTAATGGGAAGGTGAGGAACCTCTTTTTAAGTTTTCTTGTGTTCCTGGCATGGACACATTGTTTTATTTAGTAAGACTATAAAGGAAATATTAGATTTTTTTTAATACTTGTAAGGTACTTTTATTTAACGACATTGTATGAAACAGGATGTGCTGTAGATAACTAGGAGATTGGTGGCAGCAGAGGAGAAGAATATGGCAGTGAATGAGTAGATTAGGTTTAAAAATTTATAAATATTAATTTGTTGGTTCACTATCCATGGGGATATTAATATTTTGTAGTTTATACACACGAGCTTCATTGTGCGTAGCGCCAATTGTTAGTGTCAACAGTGGGTTAACAGCCAGGACCACGTTTGTGTTGAAACGGATATGTCGTAACACGTAGTATCTGTCCTGGTGTTGTCTGGGGCTCATATCTTACACTGGTATATATATGTAGGGTGTCATGCCACTTGTACAATCATCTGTTTTATGTGATTTTTACCATTTTCTTTAAGTGATCGGGTTACACGTTACATTCCGTTAAATTGCATAAAACTGACGATCGTCCAAGTGGGATGTAATCATATGTAGTAGCTACCGCCACCTTTCCCTCACCCCACACTCTGTTCTGGTGTCTGTCATTGTATGTAACTGAAAATTTGAATGACTTCCCAAATAAAACAATTTTCAACAAAGACCCTGAATTTTATTTTGGTTATTGCCTTTGAGAAGAAGTTTTTAACAGCTCATGTCGACTATCCTTGTTTGAATCGACTTAATATTTGCTCTTTTTTTTTACAGTACAGTATTTACCTGCACAAATGTGAACTAGTTTGACGACTTTACTGAATGTGTGTGTGTGCAAATTAGACAGAACTCTGATTTTGTTGCTGAATAAGGGAATGTGTCCATTGTACGTACAGTACTTTTTACAACTTGCAGAAAAATGTGTATAGAATCTATTACAGTATAAGGAATGAACTTTGCTTAATTACATTTTATAAAGGCTTTTAAGTCTGACCTTGTCATTCACAGTATATAATTGGTCAACACCCGGATTCATTTGGGCCATATTCATTCATTTCAGGTTTCCGGGAAGTAGGTTTACACATGCTGATTGTGACGCCCGGTGCTCTCTTATAACATTTCATTGAAGTGTTATTGTTCATTCATAAAGGTGTTCCTCATAACAGAACAAGTAGACTTAGGCTCAAGTACAAAAATAGCATCTGAGACTACATACTGTACCTCAACTAGATACATTCACTTGGCAACTGTTTGGTTTGTTAAGGTTGAGGATGTTTTCCAAAAGATTATTTCGTAATTTATATCCTAACTGGTGCTAATTGAGTGTATCTAAGTCAGGTAGAGTCTCAGTGTAACGTTTTCCTATTTTTTTTTTTTGCGTTATTTTGGACGTTATTTTTGTACCGTAGAACAAGTTAAAGTCGGGCGTATTATTTCATCTCAGGTTATGAGATATATTCATCGTAGAACTTATGTGATTCCGAGCACCAGGTCAGTGTCCACCTCTGATTTTTTTAGTCTGCTCATGTTGGATTAGAATGTTAGAATAGGTCAGGCTCACTACGTTAGTATTTATTCATGCTATTCAGTGGTGTGTATAACGTTAACATATGTATGAATGTT